TGGATCGGCTCGTCTGGGCGGTAATGGGACGAAATCACCGCATGTCGTATTATACGGTGGCGGCGGCGGTGGTGGTTCGCGTTCTCGAGAAAGTTCTGGTATGTTTGATCTCTTCGAGACATTGATTGTCGCATAGTCGATGCTGTCTATAGGATACGGCGGCGGTGGCGGTTGTCGATCGCTGTCTGTTCTAGGTGGTGGCAATGGTGGTGGCGGCGGCATGGTCACATAATCGCAGTCCGAGTCCATCGAGTTACTGACGGTCTTGCGCGGGGGATACCTGCCGACTATTAAATCCGACAACTCATCAGCTGACAATAACGGTCTCACGCTAGACGGATCACTGCCATCACCTCGGAAGCTGCTGATGCTGAGTATGCTATTGCTACGCGAGCGCGATTCCTCGAGCTGTTGACTCAGAGAGACTCCATCGTCATCGTCTTTGCAAACGCTGTATATCGGTTCCTGATCTTCGGTGCCAACATCTTCCGTATAAACATCACTGCTTTCAGATCGTAATCCGCTGTGAATGGTATAGAAACCGGATGTGATGGACGCTTCATCGGTGGTGGACTGAACCGAGCTCAGGATGCAAACATCACTCGTCGCCGAGGATTCATTGGTATCACCTGTAGGCGAATACAGATCGATCCTTTCGTCTTGCATCTCGCTGCTTCTCAGAGTATACACACCGCTGGTTTCGCTCGCAATATCGATACCTGAGAAAGATCCATTGAAAAAATTATAACTACGCGTGACCATGCCTAAATTAAGAAGGCGAGTAAAAGACGAGAAAGATACGGACATTTCTATTCTGAGCACGTACGTATCATATAATAGAAGTCGTAAATAATGCCAAAAAGAACCGTATAAAGCCGTTTCCTAATCCGAATTAAATTAGCCATGCTTATTATTCGCTTACCTGTGTATTTACCTGTCTTCTTACATCTGTCATAAATAGCGCCCGGAAAGCTGGCTGTCTCTGAGGAGATCGCAGAGTTTTGTGCTGTATGCGAGTAGCCTAACTCTAAGCTAGAGGTCGTTGAGGTCCGACGCATTCGTGATGGTCCGCCCGTAGACGTGTTGACAACGACTACTGTGCTGCAATTGCTGCTGCACTGCGAACCCTCGGCGGCAGTCGCGGCACTCGATGCGAGACGCAATACCACTGATGTAGAACTGGCATCGGCGTTGTCAATTTCTGAAAATTGTGCCGCTACATCAGATTACATTCTACTGCAATTGCAAAAGAAAATGGTCAAACTGATAATACATTGGTATATCAGATATCTTTTATTTCAGGAGAGAGATTACATATTCATTTCAGATTAAGAGAAATTGGATGTCATCTTATCTTGTAAGAACTACAGATCTCAACAAACAAAATTCAAATTCAGTGGTTTAAATGAAAATATGACGTTACGAGTGGTAAAATTGTCTATATTGAAGAAATAATTTTACTTTCTTTTTTTGCCAATGATGGAATATGCTATTGTAATAAAATGTTTGACTCTACTCAGCGTTGAACGGAGTTTCTATTATTGACTAAGCTTACCGTCAATAATAGAAACGGAGGAAGGTGACATAGAGTGATTGTCCGTATCCCCATTCGTGCCATTTAAAACTCTACTCTGAGCATCGGAATAAGGTACCGTCTCGGTAAGACGTGGCAAACACTCGGTTGAGGCTGGAGCGGTATCTGGCTCATCTTCGCTATGCACCCGATCGCTGACAATACCGGATGTCGTGTTCGAAGATGTACTTGAGATGACGGAAATTCGTTGGTCCCCGCGCGCACCGCGCGCTGTGAGACTCAACTTACATCGGGTAGGATACATGTAACAGTCCCTCAAGACTTTCCGTTCTATAAACGGATTTACTTTGTTATATTATTATAATTCTAATTTTTTTTTTTTTTATTATATCCATCTAATCTCTTGACAATAACCTCAGAGGAGAAATAAGGAATAATAAAATTAAAAATTAAAAATGAGAGGGGAGAGAAGAAAGATGTATATGTTATTATGCATGGTATGGTGGAAGAAAAATCGGGACAGAATATTGAGGATATATTTATAATATTGAGGATACTGAGAATAAGACGCTATTTTACAATATCTTAAATAATCTAAAAGCAACTGATTATTCAATATGGATAGATTCAATAGCAAATAGAAATACGAAGTAAGTTCACCTTCTTCTTCCCGTCTCATAGCTTCATTTACTCTAGGTGCTATAGCCATAGAAAACTGATGGGTATCACGGCACAGTCCCAAGAGAAGTTTGCTTTTGTCATCGCATCCACTGTAGAGAGTGAACTTTTCTGGCTGATCAACCGCTCGAATTTCAAACTTTTTGCGCTATGAAAAAAAGATTAAAAATTCTTTTTAGAAATAAGTGAATAACAGAAAAATATTTTCGATAAAATTTTCAATAGAGAATTTTGTTAATTTAAATTATCAAGTATAAATTATGATGCAAAGAAACTAATCTATTTCATAGTCCACTTAGCTCTGATTCTTATCGACATTTTTTCAATATATCAATCTAAACTTATTATAAAGACTTATTATTAAGATTTTAAAAAGATTTTTGATATATTCAAAAATGTCAGTAGAATCAGTGCTAGGTGGACTATAAGATAAATTAATTTCTTCGCATCATAATTATTATTAATTTACTTTAATGTGTATAATACGAGCATACGTGTATAATATGAGGTCACGATTGAATACTGTTGCGATGAATGAGCGGTAGTTTCAATAAATTGTTTTTCAAAGCTTACGTCGAAAGAGAGCTTTCCGATATTGTTCCAAGCGAAAATGCGCGGGGTCTCCTCTTCGGCATAGATTCGCACTCCGCGAGCGCAAATTGCCAGGAGTATACGTCCTGGCCCCGCCTCATTCTTACTTCGGCGCAACCGATAGAGGTGAGCGTTGAGCGGCGCCTCCAACTGTACCGCCTCCCGGATGTATTGTAATTCTGCCTCCTCTCTGGAGAGCCCACTGTTCTCCCTGTGCTGGGCTGCAAGCACGGCGAGCACGTTCGACTCAAGGCACATCTGAGAGCATTCGAGACACATTAAACCCATTAAAGAGCTATAATTGTAATCTCGGATAATTATGTAAAAAACAACACACATGTTTAAAGAAAAAACTGCCTACTATTGCTGATATATTTAATATGCTGGTATATTTAATGCAAAGAGCATAGTCACCGATTAATTCTTTTTCTATAAGAAATATTAAAGAGTAAAATCAAAAAGATAAATATAAAATATGTGATTAATGTGCGTGTATGTGCGTAATCAACTTTTAATTTCTATATCAAGAAAATTAGAAATGTCGAGGACTGGAAATTTGACTTACATGAGGAGGAAGGTAATCCGTGGATTTGCAATAGCCGACAGATCCTGCGTGTGGTCTGTGACGTTCCTCGGAATAATCGCCAAGGTCGGCTTGAAGGGCAAGTCCAGCGAGCACGAGCAGTGGTGTGACAATAGACGGTTCGTGAAGGGGATGGTGAGGATGGAGACTCTCCACCCCGCCGCCATGCCTGACGACATTGTCGCGCAATTGTAAGTAATAGTGATGCCGTGTCGTTTCATCGCTGTAACAGAACATGATACAAACTTTTAAAATACTTAATAAATATAAAGAGTAATTAAAGAGTGACTTAACGTGCAAAACGACAACTCTTTCGGAAACTAAAGATATGTGTCAAATATACAGAAAAGTATCTAAATTTAATGTAGCACATTTATTCACGTATAAAAATCTAAAAACGATTAAAAACAGAAAGATATATAAATAATTATTGTAACTCATAAAACAAAATTACAAGTCGATGCTATATGCGTCTTAGAGCTTTTTTTATAATTTAAAGAATCCGAGTATGTATGTTTGTTTAACTGAAACTAGAGATATACGCTTAACAGTATGTATCTCAGTTCATACCAATGATTAATTAAGTAAAAATAAATTATTTATTTAGATAACCTATTTACAAAATAAGTAATTTATTTCAAATTAAGTATTCGTATGTTACCTTAAAAGTAATGGCGTGTCAATGTAGAAACGAACTCGAAAGTACAGAACAAAGGCTGGTCTCCCACTACTATCCAAACCCTGAAAATAATATAATAACGTAATATATACTTAATATCACAACGACAATTACAATTTGAGCGATGATATAACATATTGTTCTAATAATAATTATTATACATTACATATATGTCTGCGACTGCCTAGGACATAGAAAATTATTTAAGCATACGTTTTTTCCATTATAAGAAAATTTAATAGAGATCCTATATATAGTTCGTAAGAAAAAAATTAAAGAAAATATAAGTTATTGTAAACAATTCATAATTTTTACGTAAGTAAATAAAAATTTTTCTATTCATCTTAAAAAAAAAAATTCTTTCTTAAGCGTTGTAGCGCAAAATTTAAAATCACTTAATAATAACACAAATTGTAGATGTATTTTATAATTAAATAATATATTACAAAATCGTTTAGACTAGTTTGTTTAATTAAGTTCAAACTAGTTTCCAATGTCAGAATATGTAATAAGCTACATTTTTTCTCTTTCTTTTTTGTTCGTTCCTTTCCCTCCACTATTGTGTATGTTTTTTTTCTAATTGTCATGAAACAATAAGCAATAAATAAATAAGCAGTTACTTACATATGTATGAGAGTTTCGCCAATTCTTTGGGGCGTATTTGCTCAGTTTACTCTCAGGATCCACAAATAGGTATTCACCGTCTAAAACAAGAAACGTATATAAACAATAAAAACTTGTTTACTTTAGCACGAGTCTATTATTACGTGAGTATGGGACATCATTTTAAAAATATATTGTATCACAAATTTTGCATGGAGATAGATAATAAATATGAATTTATAATTTTTGTAGTAAATTTGTATTAAATTTGTTAACAAAAATTTGTTAACAAATTTTGCTAGGATACTATTAACATTTTGCTTACTGGAATTTATACTAATTATTTATACTAATATACAATACTTATACTAATATACAATATATAAGGATCATTAAATCAACTAAGTGCATTGTATATTGAATTCTGCAATACGATTGAACATTTAAAATATATTTGTGATTTCCTGACATGATCGTTGAGTTCACGAAACTTGGAGATTTCATTCTCTTCGTATGATTTTTTTGCATGACTAACAACGCAAGATACTGATGCTCCAAACAAATGAAACAATGAAAGAGACTTGATAAAGAGATACTAGTGAATGAGAGGATCTGAAACCTGTTCAACCTACGTGGGACCAGAACTCTTATGGCACGATAACGTGACATGTTTTTCGCAATAAAATTCGATTCGGAATCTCGAATGCTGATCGAAAAGAAACCGGGATTCGGACTCTCGAGGCTTCCGAGCGCAATCAACAATTTCCAATCGTTGTGCTGGCAAACTATTACAGTTGAAATTATTGTTGCATACAAATGTAAAACTCATTTGTGATAAAACACGGTTTGCTTGGAAATATGGCATAGGTTTATCTTTGACGATACTCCACAAGCTATCTAAATCCAAAATGCTAGAATCTGTAGTTAATTTTTCTTTTCTTATATTCAATTTTTCTGATACTAAACTTTCTCTGTATGATTTGTTCTTAAAAACAAGTATTATTACAAATTTCGTAATTTTTTTCAAATATATCGTGGATGATGATTAATTTAAATTTAAATGTGACACGCAGAGTGTTCATCTTCTGTTCATAAAAAGAATATTTCCTAATGTGATATGTAGAGAGGTATAACTTTCTCTCGTCTCTCTCTCTCTCTCTCTCTCTCTCTCTCTCTCTCTCTCTCTCTCTCTCTCTCTCTCTCTCTCTCTCTCTCTCTCTCTCTCTCTCTCTCTCTCTCCCTCTCCTCTCTCTACTCTATCTGGTTCCTCCCTTTCTTTAACGCTCGTCATTCTCCTTCGTCTTGTGGCAAGCTATTACCTCTCTCATTTATTGCATGCCTATGTATTTCTTTTGTACATACGCGTTCTCTTTCTCAATTAACTATGCCTTGCACATCCTTAAATCCTTCATAACTAGACTTTACCGCGTATTGTGATATTCAAACAAAAATGTAATTCTTAATTTTTTTCTAGTATTCCTATTATTATTATTATTAAATATTTGCAACACATTAGTCAGCAAATTATAAAAAATATGAAAAAAATGTACATTTTTACTAGAAAACGCAAATACTTTATTTTAGAATTTAAAAGAGAAATGGTCGAAAGTATATTTTTTAATAAAAAAAATTCCCGGCGATTCATTGCACGGTATTTCAAAGCGCAATAAATACAATTTTACTGCATTTTATTAGAAAAATAGAAATTATTTATATCCTTTAAATAGTAAATTCCAAAGTAAATCCGTGAGCTATCGAATATAAATATCGATTTATCAATCGAGAAGGGATTCAATTACGGGAAATAGAAGAAAATTAAGAATAGAATAGAAATTGCAGAATAGGAAAAACGGTAAAGCGGTAAAGAAGAGCCAGAAGTAAGGAGAACGAGGCAGAAGAAGACTAAAGCTCATTAAAAGAAACGGGAAGCAAAAGAGGGACTACTCGATTTAGACCGCAAGACCCACCGCGAATATCGCATAAGCCATAACGCGCGCGTACAGGGAGTATGAGTTGCCTTTTTTCTTATACTTGTTTTTCAATGCATTTTTTCTTGTCATGCTACGGCTCGCGCGTCTCAAGACCTGCCAACTCAACCGAGTCCGATGATGGTGCTCCGCTGGAATGTAGAAGGGATGGGTAAGGTGGGATCTCGTAGGGCTCTTTGAAGACCCGGGAAGGCTTTATCCATAGTGGGGGCCACCAGTCGGACCGGCTTGTCACGATTGGTGAGGGTAGCGATGAACGTGAGCCGTATGGTATGCAGAAAAACCTGACGATTAGTCAAGAGGCCTGGATATCTCGCTAGTTTAAGCTTAGTTTTCGCAATTTCTCCGCAATTTATGTCATTTTCTTCTATTATAGAAAACGGATTCGCAATGTAATATAAAGATCGTAATATTTATTTCTTAATTAAATCATTTCAGAGTAGACTTAAATTTTAGACGCAATTTTTATATCTTTTGTATTTTGTAAATTTAAATTATAATAATATAATTATAATATTATATAATTATATAATAATATAATTATATAAAATAATTATATAATAATATAATTATATAAAATAATTATATAATAATATAATTATAATATTATAATTATTTTGAAAGGTAAACGTTTTTAATGAAAAAAAAATTAAAAAATGAAAGATTCTAAGGCCAATTTCGTGTTGCCGTTATAAAAATTAATGAAATTAAGACAAAAATATAGAATTCACGAGTGTGAAAATCAAATTTTTTAATCATCAATTTAATCACCAATATGTGCATTATCGTTTTAAGTTTTATCGTTTTAAGTTTGTCGATTAAGATCTGTCGATTAAAATCGACGGTTACTTTTGGTGCATAAAATAGTAAAAATATCGGCGAACTCACCGGATAAAATTGCCAGACCGAAAAGTTCGCAATCTCGCATGCCCTGTTGGCTGAGAAGTGTGCATGTCTGCGTATAAACCTCCTTTACTCTCGATTTAGCCTGAAATAATAAAATGTATGTGTTTGTGTGTGTGTGTGCGTGTGTGTGTGTGTGTGCGCATATTATTTTTCCAAACTTAAAATTAAAATTAACATTTGAAAATGAAAGCTTTAAGTATAGTATTATTTAAGAAAGTAAGTATTTAAATATTTAAGAAAGCTATATTATAGTAATATCGTTTACGTAATTGTTTTCCAGAGCAAACAAAAAAATGAATTTTTTTGCTCGTGCATGCTTGTAACAGAATTATTTCGTATTTTTATCGACGGGTACATGTAAACAAATAACATTTATTGATAATTGTTTTGATGATTAATCGGCAATTGTCTCACCTCGACAATAAAGTAGAGAGGATCACCAGGAAGGGCGTGAATGGCGAGATAGCGGCTGGCGGACACCAGGGGTTGAAGGCAAGACCGCGCAGCCGTGACACCGCTACCACGCATGCTGCATGCTTCATTTCGCGCCGCTACTCCCAGCGTCCTCACTGGAAACGGCAACGACAATAAAATTATATATATATATATATATATATATATATATATATATA